GATGCATACACGAATGGCTGGGTCTGGAACTCTAACAGCCTTCTGCTGTGCGCTGTGTGATAGGAGAGGCAAGGGAAGGGGGAGCCAATGAAGATAAAGATGGTGTTGCAGTACTTGGTATGATCACGAAGCAAGCGACCTCTCTACCACAGACCCAAGATCACGATGCCAGGCCACAGCTTTCGGACAGCCGTTGGCCGTCTCGTGGCTCTCGGGACAGTTCTCACATTTTTGACGTTCCAGTATATTGCTAGTCAAACAAGAACTTCATTCGGCTTTTACGAGGCCTTCTTTCAATTCAGCTCATGCATCATTGTGTTCAACTTCCTTCTCATTATCACCCGGTGGACTGAGTACGAGCCGATACCGGGCATCAAAGATAACAACCGTCTTCCTACGATCAATGTCATCATTCCGGCATACAATGAGTCTGAGTTCGTCAAAAACTCAATCTCCTCTGTTGTTTCTTCGGACTACCCGAACGAAAAGATTCACATTATCGTTGTCGATGACGGCTCATCAGACGATACTTGGTCCCACATTCAACACGCCGCGCAAGAAGCTCTTCGCTCAGAGCCACTGCTAAGATGCACCACCATACAGCACGAGATCAACCGTGGGAAGCGACAGGCTATGGCTACAGCCTTCACAGCTGCGACTAACGAAGTCATTGTGACTCTCGACTCTGACACCATCCTCGAGAAGCAAGCACTTCGAAATCTGGTTAGCCCTCTTGTACTCGACAGCGATATTGGAGGAGTCGCAGGCCATCTGTCCGTCTTCAACGTTCACTCTGAAGGCTGGAAGAGCTTCATTCCGAGGACGCTGGACTGTCTTTTTGAGCAGAACGGCAACATCCCGCGGGCGGCACAGTCAAAATACGGCTTTGTCACCATTCTACCAGGTGCCATTTCTGCTGTCCGAAGAGAAGCTTCTCAGCCGCATGCTCAAGATCTGGTGGATGCTAAATTCCTTGGCAAGCCTTTGCGGCACGGAGAGGATGTACAGCTCACGATGAACCTTTTGAGTGACGGCTGGCGACTCAGGTATCAGAGCAATGCAGTTGTCTACACAGTCGCGCCCGAGACCTTGCGCAAGGCATTTCTGATGTATGTCCGATGGGAAAGAAGCAACTACACCTACTGGATCCTTGGCCTGGTCAAGCTCGCCTTCACCGACGCCAAGAGGCTCGTTCTGAATCGACTGGGCCTCCTTTCTCTGAGTCAGTCCGGCGCATCGCTCGACTTGGAGAAGCAACATGGCAAGCGAGTGGCGAATGCACGACAACCGGACTTTGCGCCGATGCTGACGATCATCTGCGCAACCTGCGCGACCCTGTCTTGCGTGGAAGCGGCATTTTCTTGGGTGTGGGGGGCCTTCCGCTCTCCGTGGGTCACGACCATGAATGTCTGTTGTCTCGTCGTCTTTGCGACTTGGTCAAGCCCTCTCTTATTGGCCGATGCACTCAGCAGAAACGAAGATGACTCGATGCTTCAAAGTGGACTTCAACAACCGACATCGGATCAATCAGAGAGTTCATATCCGCGTTTAAGGAAGAAGATGCAGTACTTTTACTTTTCTACGGTTGCGAATTTCTTCTTTGTGAGCTGGGCATCAGTGTTTGGACTGTTTACACTCAGAAGCCAAAGTTGGTTGACAAGATGATATTTAGATAGAGGGAGCTTAGAACTGGAAGACGACAGACAGCTTGGTTCATCCAATATGATTTAGACCTCGCAAAAGTCTACAGTGATGTGAGAACCAGGCTTGGACCATTGTTTCAGGAGTCACCCTCGGTAGTCAGAATGAATGTAGTAGATTTATCCCGTGCATCGTTGCCGGACCCATCCTTGTTAGGGTTGCGGCGGCTACAGCTGCTACTATCACCATCCTCGTCAGCCCCTCCCGCGTTTTTTATCTCTGAGCCGATCACGCCAGCAATATTCGCCACAGAAAGTTTCCGTATTCTGCAATGAACCCTGCCGCAACTGAATCGTGTCCCTTGCCACCGCTGTAAGAAGCACGTTGCTGCCATGTGAATGGCTGGGTTAACGCGCACGCCTGTGCTAAATAAAGGAGCACTTGCATTTATCACATCTCTGTTATCGCGATAATCATAAACACATGATTTGTAAATCTGTTGTAAACACAACCCCCCATGGATTCTCGTTTTCGTTACAGCCAAGCAATTATCGGTGAGGAGCCCAGCTGAACATGGCAAGTTCTGGACTTCAATAAGACCAGGTCCAGCCACCGAAGTGAGGGGGTTACATCGACACCCCGGGACGGGATCCAGTAAGCTTGATTGGTTTGAGCCAATGAGACTCTTGACAAACAACGTGATAGACGCGCTATCTATTAAACTTCCGGACGAACTGCCAAGTAAGAATCTTGTTTTAAGCGATGGGATGCCGAATTGGTCGTACTCGCGCGGATACTATCATGCCGCACTGCTGTAATAGCGTTTAAAACTAGAGTTTACACGTGTACGTCGGGTCTATTCCATCCTTCAGTACATTAAGTGTACCATCCTTGTTTGCAAACCTTCGGATCCGAACTGGAAGCCATTGTGTGCTCCGCCGTCAAAGAAACCACAATGTCTCCCACAACGAAGCGAGATACACAGCGCCCATTCGTGTCAAAACACGGGCAGGTCATTCGCAAATGCAGAGTCAGTTGACCAGTCGTCCCAGGCGTGAATCGCAGCTGACCTCTTCCCAGATACCAGGAACTGTCGCTTTCACATTCGATGATGGGCCGTCTTTCTACACAGACTACATCCTGCATGAGTTCGCCCAGTTCAATGCAACCGCGACGTTCTTTCTTGATACCTCGTCATGGCTCACAGAAGAAAACCGTTCCGGTTACTGGGAGTCATTAGTGAGAAGACTGGTTGAGGACGGGCATCTCATAGGACTTACAATTGAGTCATGTGATGGTGGTTCTCCGAATTACGACGAGACCAAACATGCCCTGGCCGAAGCCCGCAAGAGAATAGGCAGAATCTTTGTTTCATCAACTTCCTCAAGCGGACGTCATCCTATGTACGTGAGGGCGCCTCCAGACTGCAGTATGCAAAACGGCTGCGTGGAAAAGTTGACCCTCGACGGCCAACGACTTGTATTCCCTGGCAGCAACTCGGAAGATCCACGCGACGACCCTGGGCGAGATCTGAACTCTACATCTCTCCTCAGTGACTTGGAGTCTGCGGATCCAGAAAAAGACTCTTTCCTGATTAGGATGCACGACACTGAGCAAACTGCTCTCAACGTGGGTAGCCTGGTACAGAGCTTTGCCAGCAAGGGCTTCAAGCCAACTACAGTTGGAGACTGCATAGGTGATCATGACCACTTCATGTACCTGCAGCCACCCCAAAGCAGCCAGCCGTTTGGAAATCTTGGAGTAAAGATAGGAAATTCTTGGAACGGATCGTTTTCACAGTTGCGGTGGGTTGGATTCCCCCTCATACCTCTTCTCGAATTCATGGCTCTTGCCGCCCTGTTCTGGACAGCTCGGCGGTACAGGAAAATCAGGTCGCATATGCATATTGTACGATAATGAGTTGAGATGCGTCACATAATTTAAATGGTACTTGTTTGGGAGGCTGGCAATAGGAGTCTTTGTTAAGCAGTGCAGTCATTTCTTTGAGACGACAATGGGTACTATGGACACATTGTGAGTTTGGGCGAGACTGGACAACAGCGGTAAAGTCTTTTTCGAAGACCAAGTTTTGTAATAAGCGAGAAATGAACAAAGACAATGCAGCATGGAACTTCTTCGTAATTCTCTCAAGGTATTTCCTTTCCACTTAGTGTAAGATGAAACCTGAACCGACGCAGCTTCAGAAGACTGCCTTGTTTTTGAACGTGCTCTCAACAACATAACATAGATCCATGGATAGTGAAAATGTAATCTTTTACTTCGATGTGTAGTTGAAACGAGCAGACACTCTACTTTCCATTATCAATGACTTCTGAGGCTTCTGCTGTTCACTTATATCGAAACGACAAATGCTTGAATCTGTCGCATAGTTACCTTAAACTTACCACGCGAATGACCCCTCAATTCAACCGTGGCCAGGAAAACCTTTTACTCGTTCATATGCAGAACGCAGCTTCGCGAGCATTTGCTGTTGTAGCTGACGACAAAGCTGCTTTGGTATCGATATAGCTTGTTGTCCTTGTCGGACGGCCCTCTCCATGAATTAAGTTCGCAAGCACAACTTTGAGAGACGACCAGAGTCAGCTTTGAGGTCGTCTGTGTGAGCTTCATGGAGTAATGACGGGGCTCGAACGGCATGTCAACGAAGTCATAGCCTGCAGATGCCAAATAATAGACTGTCCCAAAAATCAGCTAATTGATCGTGATTCTGCGCTGTACCAGTGAGATAATGAATGAACAAAATTTGAAAAATCTGATTGTGGCTGATGCAAACACATGGATGAGTTCTGGAACGGGCGTCGGCAGCCGGCCTCCTTAAGAAGAAAAGAACCGTCGGACCAAACCCGACAAATACAGAGTCATGGAGTTGCGCAATATTCCAGCTGCTGGCGCGTAGTGTGGGGGCTGCTGGTTTATGTCGAGCGGATTGCGTCTTCTCCCCAGTCAATGTCGCAACGACCATCGCCAAAAACCGCGGTGTGCAACCCGCGATGTCTAGCCCGGTTCAGCAACCGACCGCGGACAGTCCCCGACGAACGGAAGTCCGGCACGGGAGCTTCCATGGTTATTGCATAGGAGCCACCATAGCCGTGAGCCAGCGGGCGAAGGAACGGTTCCACCTCCACGGAACTTATCGCCAAGCACGTCTTCGTCTTGCATTTTGATACCATCTTGGAGGATTTTCGGACGACGTCCGCCGCCAGCTAAGCAGTTCAAAGACGGTGGCGAGAGATGTTGTATATGATAAAGATCATCACCCTTCTCATCTTCCATCTGTGCCACGTGGGAAAGTGCATGTCTTGCAGTTCGTCAAATATCCTGATCCACCAACAGTGAAGATGGGCGTTCCAGATAATTTGAACATCCAAGTCGCCGCTAACGATGCTGGCGGCCGGGATGCGATGGCCATCGGTCAATCTTCAGGGTCTGATGGCGGCATTACGCCCGTGGAGAGCGAGCCAAAGGATTACATCGATCCCAAGGAGGAACGGGCTTTTGTTTGTAAGACGGGTTCTTTGTGCACATTGGCCTACGCACGGGTTGACTGACATCAACAGGGCGCCTCGACTTGTTCTTTCTCACCATAGGGTTTCTGGGCTATATGTTCAAGTACATCGACCAAACAAACATTGTGAGCCGGAAACCGGTGTGCCATGATGCCAGACAGCTAACCCGCAACTTAGAGCAATGCATACGTGTCTGGAATGAAAGAGGATCTCAGCCTGTTTGGCAACGAGTTGAATTACTTTACCACGTTCTTCAAGTGGGTTTGCCTCCGAGGCACTTTATTGGAGCCTAGAGAACTGACCATGCTCCCCAGCATTGGATACATGATCATGCTTTACCCTTCATGCATCATCATCTCCCACTTTGGCCCATCAAAGTGGCTTCCTGCATGCGAGGTCCGTACCATCGCTGTTGATTAAAACTCAAAACTGACAAAGCCAGCTTATCTGGGGTGTACTTACATGCTGCTTGTCAGTCGTCACGAGCTCCAAACAGGTAAGAATCGTCTTACGCTACCTAAGTAATCCGACTGCTTACCCATGTCAGGTTTACGGCCTCCGTTTCCTCATCGGCCTGTTTGAAGGGACCGCCTGGCCAGGTTACTTCACACTCATCAGCCAGTGGTACATGCCCCACGAAGTAGCTCTGCGCATGAGTCTCTACAACATCGCCCAGCCCGCGGGCGCCATGCTGTCCGGTGCGATGCAGGGCGCGCTGTCTACCAACTTTGAGGGCGTGGCTGGGAGGTCAGGCTGGCGGTGGGCCTTCATCATCAATGTGAGAGCTATCTCGTGCCATGATTACTAGATTGAGAGGCTGATTATATCACAGGGTGCTTGTACCATCGTTGTGGCTCTCGCAGCCTTCATCATCCTTCCTGGCTATGTCGGTTCTCCCTAACGCAATCTTCCCACCACCATGACTAACTCGATCACAGCCCGAACGCCCCAATCCGCTTTCAAAATTCTATATGACGGACCGTCATATTGAGATAGCAGTCGCGCGCGGCCGCCGGGTTGGACGTAAGCCGCAGATTGGTATCACCGTCAAGTCATTCCTCCGATGCTTCACATTCTGGCAGCTGTGGGCTATTGCGAGTACGTACTGTACCGACTCATGGTCTTTTCCATGAGTAGACCTACGTTTTTGAGTGCAGATCTGACATTCATCTTAGTTGCATGGCCTGTCGGAGGCAACTTCACGCCCGCCAGCTACTTCAACCTATGGCTCAAGTCTCTAAAGAACTCGGACGGAACTGTTAAATAGTGTGTTCAGAATCATCCTATTCGCCCTTTAAGTCCAGGCTGACAAGTTACGTAGCTCTGTAGCTATGCTCAATTATCTACCGACAGCGCCTCCACAAGGGCAATCAAAGCAATTTTAACCCCTATACTTATTAACTTAGCTCTTTTTTTTTAGTGTTTTTAATTACTTAGCTAATTTATAAATAAAACAAATTAATCACTATATAAAACTATATTATACTTATTTAAAGCTATTTATACTACCCCTAATAGCTTAAAGTTATTACTAAGTAATATAACCTCCCTTTTTAGCTAGTTCTTTATTAGCTAGAGACTCTCTATAGTACTAAGCTTTATTAAGAACCTCTATAATATAAAAGTTAATTTAGCCTAGTTAAAAGCTTTTTTATAGTTAGTAGATATTATAAAGATAGTAAAGATATTAATTACTAATTTATAAAGTATTAGATATATCTCTAAGTAGTTTTATTATTATTTAATAAAATTACTAATAACTTTAAGAAGTTTCTAAAAGTAGAGATTAAATTTATTAACTTAAGGTAATATATAGTAGTATTAGCTATTAACTTATTACTAATAGTAACTATTATTATTATCCCTAGCTTTAATATTAATAGGGATAACTATTAACTATCTATTTAGTATTAATATTACTATTTTTAGCTTAGATTAATAATATTACTTATTAAAGAAGTTTTTAAAGTTATTAAGAGTTTTTTTAATTTATCCTTTTTAGTATTTATAATATTATATATCTTATAAATATAAAATACTTAATAATAGATATAAGATTAACGTTATAGAAAATAGTAATAAATCTCCTATTTTATTATAATATAAAAAGAGCTTCTACTATATTAGTTTAATATTAATATAAAGGAAGGACTATTATTTCTTATTAAAGGAATTAAATTATAAAGCTAATTATAAAACTAATAATATTTAGTTTTTATAAATATAAGTTAAGAGAGCTTATATATAAAATTAACTATATTAACCTTAGCCTAAATATCTCTATAACTACTATAATTAATCTTTAGTATTATTATTAATAAATAGAGAGATTATAACGTTATAATAGTCTTTTTAGTTAATAAAATATAAAAGAAGATATTCTATATTTATTATAACCTCTTAAAGTTAATTATAACTATTATTAATATTTTAGCTTTTATACCTCTTTATTTATTAGTAAAAAGGCTCTAAGATTATATATATCTTAGCTAGAACCTTTTAATTTTCTAAGGATAGAAGGTTTTCTTTAGGGATATATTACTTAATATTATTATTATTATTATTTAAAAGTATAAAAGCTTAAATCTCTATTTTTTTCTTTATAGCTCTTTAGATTATAAGATATATATTATTCTAATAAGTATTATTATTTAGGATAAAGAAGGCTTCTTAGTATAACTCTAAGAAGATCTAAAAGTTAGAGTCTCTATTAACCTCTACTATAGCTTTTTAATATTATTTATAATATTATAGAAATAACTAGATAAACTTAATAATATTATAAAGCTAGTTAATAAAGTTAAGCTATTATTAACGCTCTAAATTATTATTATAACCTTTAAGCTTATAGAACTATAATTTAATATATAAAGTCTCCTTATTAGTGCTAAATAAAAACGCCTAAGCTAAGAGATTAAAAATATAGCTATAATACTATATATATTAAGCCTAAATATTTATCTCTATTATCTCTAAGTCTAATTCTCTATAGAAATCCTAGAAATAGATATTATTATTTATAATATTATTAGAGATAGTTACTTTAATCTAATCCTAGATATAATAGTAGTTAATAATATTAATAAAAGTTACTATAAAAGTAGTACTACTATAATTACTATAATATTAATAGAAAACTAGAAAATAGGATTATAGAGTACTATTAGTATTAATAAAATAATTAATAACCTCTATAAAAGTATAAATATTTAGGAATATCTATAGATTAAATAATAGGTATATTTTTAACTTTACTATATAAAGTTCTTTAATTACTAACCTCTTACTATAATAGTAGATATTATTAAAATAGTCTTAAATAGATAAATAACTTTATAATATCTTACTAATAACCTCTATATTATAATACTATAGTATTTACTAGAAGTAGGAGTTCTTAAAATAAGTAAATAAGAGGTTAATAGAAATAATTAAAGCTATATAGAGATTATATAGAGTAGTTACTTTAGCTTTAAGTATATTTATATAGCTAAATTAAAGTCTTTTTAGGGAAAATAATATAAATATAGCTATTAATAATAATATTAGAGTGCTATTAGAGTTTTTATCTAAGTAAGGAGAGATCTTATAGATAATATAAGTATTTTAGCTTTATTAAAGTATAATTATTATAGATAGAAAGCTTAAATTAATATATTATAATAAGTGCTTTTATAAAGTAGATATAGTAGTAATATTAAAAACTTTTAGTTAGTTTTTTATATTATATTACTAATAACTTTAGTAAGACCTTACTATATATCTCTAAATAACCTTAATAAGGAAGTTATTATAATCTTAAATCTAACTAAATTAACTCTACCCTCTCTTATATAAGAGCTATACTTTAAATATATATTATTTACTACTAATAATAATAATTAGTAAGTTATTAATTATAAAATTTAGAGAAATAATAATAAATAAAGTAGTTATAATCTATATTAAGATATAGAAATATATAGTAATTAATAATATATAAATATTATTAATTAATAAAAAAGTAGTAATAATAATTAATATTTTAACTCTAAAAATAAAAAAGATAATAAAGAGTATAAATAATATATATAAGTTAAAGTAATAAATAACTTTTAGAAATAATATCTAATTATAATATTATTTATATTATTTAAACTACTATAATAACTTCTACTCCCTTAAAAAGTTTTATATTAATTAAATACTAACTAATATTATAAAAGCTATCTAAATATCTTTATTATTATATATAGTGATTAATAAGTTATTAATAGTATTATATTTTAATAACTAATTATACTTAGAAAACTAAAGTAGGGATTAATCTATAACTTCTTATTAGTTAATCTATAAATAATATAAGATATTAAATATTTTAATTCAATCGAGGGATATTAAATTAATTAATTAGGTAGTAGTAATAGCCTCACTTTGCTTAGTTAGGTTAAATACGTTGTTAATTTACTTGCCCTTATGGAGGCGCTGTCTACTGATAGCAGGCCAAGGTCTGCAGCTCATCTCGGAGCTCCTCTTCAGTGGCTTCAGCGGCTACTTTGGCGTCCACCTACCATTCTTGCTACTTCACTCCGTAACTCGTCCCTCCCTGATATGAGGAGATGACTTGAAAACTGACACAGCGCAGGCCATCAACATTGCCTCTCAGGTGATCCTCATCGTCCGGCCAAAGAACGAAGGGGCTTACATGGCCGGCTGGTACATGAACTACATCGGAGCGTACGCCAAGACCACCCCTATTTTCAGTCATATCCATAACCTGACATGTTGCATAGTGTTTCCACCATGCTACTCTGCTCCTGGGGCTCGGCACATCTCCAGCACGAGCCTGAGGTCCGCACCGTCCTGTTCGCCAGCGGCACCGTCCTTGCTTACATCATGAGCGCATTCATACCCATTGCCGCGTTTCCTGCCTCGGAGGCTCCCAACTGGCGCATCGGATCAAAGCTATATCTCGCATTTGCACTCGTGGCTGTAGTGATCTTTATTGGGATTCATTTCGGGTTCAAGTGGGAGGAGAAGAAGCAGCAGAAAGAGGTTGTGAAGGAGGAGCTAGCTGGCGAGCCGGACGATGCGAACGCAGGGGTCAAGACCGTAAGTCTGGAGACAGAGAAGTAGGTAGGGTTTCTTTGTCTTAGCAGTTACACGAATATGGAGAGAGACGGTCAGTTGGCTGCACTCAGTTCTAGCAAGGCGAAATAATCTCTCTTTGAAGGACACTTCAACCGCTTCGTGCATTAAAACAAGAAATCTGACCATTTCTACAAGCCCTTTATGTCTCTTAAGATCTGTTTCATGTAGCACCAATTCGGTTCAAGTTTCCCTCTCACCACCAACAACCAACGACCCCCATTTCTGCGCCGCCATACACCCGCCATCAATGAGGATATCAACACCATTGATATACCCACAACCAACAACAAACGCAACCGCATCCGCCATCTCCTCCGCCGTCCCCGCCCTCGGCACCGGCAACCCCTCAATCATCGCCCTGATCCCCTCCCCACTCCCGCTCGCCATCTCCTCCCTCAACATCTTCGTCTCCGTACACCCGGGGCTCACACAGTTCACCCGCACCCCCCTCCCCGCGTACTCCTTACTCGCCGCCGCCGCCGCCACTCTTAACACGTTCGCCTTCTTCGCGATGCAATACGCAGCCCCCTCATGCGCCCGTCCCATCTCCCACATATCCTCATTCTTCAACAGCTCCCCCAGCGGCGCCAGCGCGAGATGCCGCTCCAGCGCCTCGGACATCGGCGGACCCATGTACTGCGCCATACTCCCCACGCAGACCAGGCTACTGCCCCTTGGCATCTCAACCTCCGCGCCAAAGGCGGCGATCACGTTCGCCGTGCCGAGCACGTCGACCTCGTAGATCTTGGCGGCGTCGCCCATGGAGGGTGAGATGGCGGAGGTCAGCACGACGGCGGCGATGGCGCCGCCGAGGGACGCCGCGGCCTTGGCGACCGCGCTGACGGAGGCGTAGGAGGTCACGTCGACCTGCTGCGTGGTGAACTTGTGGCCGGCCTGTTTGAGGGCCTCGGAGGCGCTGGCGAGGGTGGAGGCGGAGCGCGAGGCGAGGAGGATGTGGTGGCCTTGGCCGAGGCGGAGGGCGGTTGCGAGGCCGATGCCGCCGCCGCCGATTACCACGAGAACCGGGAGGGTGTCGAGGGCCATTGTGTTTGGTCTGGTCAGCTTGGGATCGTTCTAATGACGGAGGCTATTGCAAAGGAGATTGGCTTGGATCATGGTATAATTCGCCGTGGGATC